GTTTTGTTTGTCGGTGAAAATTGTACAATAGAATCTTCTTCTTCTCCTTTCGGCACGTCCCTTTTCAGGGGTCGCCACAGCGAGTCATTAATTCCCATTTGTCCCTGCAAACCGCCCTATCAACTCGCATGTCTGTCTTGGCAAAAGTTTTACGCCGGATGCCCTTCCTGACGCAACCCTCCCCATTTTTCCGGGCTTGGGACCGGCACCGGGGAACAGTGTACCCCCAGGGGAGGGCACTGCTCCCCAGCGGCTGGGTTAAAATTGTACAATAGAATAAAAACAGGAAATTATCACCTGAACTTTTCCAACATTTACTGTTAAAAACCAGTACCAGGGTAACGTAATTTCTCTTTGCCTTTAATTTGAAATCAGGACAAAGCAACAGTTGAACACCTTCCTCATGCGCAACAACATCAAATTCCAAGAGGCTGCTGCATAAAACTAGCCATGTTTTTCAAGGGCGTGGCTGGATTCATCGTTTTCCTGTTCTGATTGACAGGGAAGTCCTACAGCTCTCCGTCAGAAGAGTCTGACCGCAAGACCATCTGGTTGAACAACCGAAGACTGGTGCTCGTGCACAACATCATGGCCGATCAAGGCATGAAGTCCTACCGCCTCGGCATGACCTTCTTTGCCGATCTGGTAAGAAAACCAACTCGCCGTTTCAACTCCAGCGTTGTCTTGACTGAATTCTTACAACGAAATGTCGAGACCGCTAAGAGTGTCTGCCCTGATTAGGAAAACAAGGAGTACAAGCAGTTGTTTTCCCGGGGATATCTGCTGCCCTTTAACGCTTCTGCCCCGCGGGGCGGTTCCACGTTCCTGCCATTGCCCCTTGGAGCTGGCCTACCAAAGACTGTGGACTGGAGAAGCAAGGGCTACGTCACCAACGTCAAGGATCAGAAGGCGTGCAATGCCGGTTGGGCCTTCAGCACAGTACGTGCGGTGCCTCCCGTATTTCCTCATTGTCGCCTCATTGATGATGAACTTTACTCTTCAATGTTTTCCGCCTTGCCCAGACGGGCTCTTTGGAGGGCCAGACCTTCAAGAAGACGGGTAAGCTGGTGTCTCTGAGCGAGCAACAGTTGGTGGACTGCTCTGGCGACTTCGGCAACAGGGGCTGCATGGGAGGGGACATGGTAAACGCCTTCCGGTCCATCCAGGACAACGGGGGAATCGACACAGAGGAGTCCTATCCTTATGAGGCTCAGGTAAACCGAAATTGTCTCTGACAGCAGCGGTCCCCAACCTTTTTCATCCCACGGACCGGTTTAATGTCAGACAATAATTTCAGGGACAGGGTGTTACGGATAAATACAACAAAATAATATGACATGACCTGCATGAAAACTTTGGTATTTTTAAAACATAATAATAAACACGAATCATGACCCAAGGAATGTCCTATCTGGTCGCAACACTCTCTGGTCGCTATGGTAAAGGTTCAACGTGCCTTCAAAATAAGATACAATGCAAATACAAAGTGCATGAAAAATACGACTCACCATCGATGCATATGATAAAGAGTGGGCTCGTGCGTGGGAATCTCCCATTGAGATAAATCCGTATGTTAAGTAGGAAATCCTGATACTGTCTTTTAAATGTAGCCTTCTTTGTATTGAAAGTCGTAGGCTCCTCTTCTGTCTCCTGGCTGGGCCTTTTCCCCTTCCCATAGACGTTGATGTCTTCCCCCCCAATTTTGCGAGCTCCTGGGTTTCATTTTTAGCGGTAACCTGTCACGTGACCGAGAAGCGCGCCTTGACCTGTGTCAAGAGTGATACATTGGAGACGGATGTAACAGAGAATCTGGTCATTTTTCAAAATAAAACATCTTTCAGATTCCAAAATAAATAAAACGGAAGTAATGTAAGTTCTTTATTCTTTCTCTGCAGTCCGGTACCAAATAACCCATGGGCCGGTACGGGTCCGTGGCCTAGGTGTTGGGGACCACTGTTTTACAGTGCTAAGGCGACAGGATTTAGTTGCCCGTTCCTTTCCCACAACCTGCATCCAGATAAGCAGAGAAAAAAAAAACGCTGGATGTTTTAGATTCGATTATCAACAAATTGTCTCCTGTCAGCTTTGCGGCAGCTGTTCTTTTCATCCATCACCGATTGAGTCGGTGTACTTTGTGCTGTGTCCAGTCGTCATTTGTTCCTTCTCCAAAATAGGGCGGATTGTGCCGCTACAACACAGTCGACATCGGTGCCAAATGCAGAGGTTACGTCAACGTGAAAACCGGTGACGAACTCGCCCTGAAGCAGGCGGTGGCTACAGTCGGACCTGTGTCTGTTGTCATTGATGCTTCACATGAGTCCTTCCAGCTCTACGAATCAGGTGACAGACATTAGTGCGATCGAAGCGATCTCAATAAAGAAACTTCGATCAGACATTTTCTTTGCAATTGTTGACAGGCGTCTACGATGAGAAAGCGTGCAGGACCTCTGATATTCACCACGGAGTGCTGGCTGTAGGTTACGGCACCGACGTTGACCGTGACTACTGGCTGGTCAAGAACAGGTAAACTTTCTGACGTTGTTATTCTTTGGTTGAAGTATTGAGTAAATGTAAATTGTGTACTTGGCAACAAAAACAAGGACGGCGAACACAAGCGCAATTGTGTTGCTTGTGATAAGAAACTTGTGAGTGCTTTTACAACACTGCCACAGTGACTAATAGGGACACTCATTTCAAAGCCATACATGCCTCACATATGCAGTTTAATGACAACCGAACATTGTCATTCATGGGCTGAGAATTGAAAATACAGCCCGGATCCGGGATCATTTGCGAAATGTAATATTCTGACGTATTAAACATTTCAGTGTTGTCTTGCGATGGAAGTTGTAAAAAAAAACAAACAAAAAAAAAACCGATCTTGATTTTTTTACGATGAACAAACTACATCTCGTTTTGCTTTGGAAGCAATGTGAACTCAATTTGATGATTACGATCCCGTTTGGCCGACAAAAGCGTCACTGTTAATTGAGAAATGTTTTTCTTCCAGCTGGGGTCCACAGTGGGGAGACAAAGGCTACATCATGATGAGCAGGAACAAACGCAACCAGTGTGGAATTGCTACGGCAGCAAGCTACCCTTTAGTGTGAACGGATTTGCGGGAAAACCAATTCCATTTTATCGGCTCGTGAGACATGTTTTTCATTAACTCTGGAGTGTTGGAATGAGTCAGACAGGAACAAAGAGAACCAGTGTGGAATTGCTACGGCAGCAAGCTACCCCTTAGTGTGAACGGATTTGCGGGAAAACCAATTCCATTTTATCGGCTCGTGAGACATGTTTTTCATTAACTCTGGAGTGTTGGAATGAGTCAGAGCCAGTGGACGAGGAAAAACTGAATGATGATATTTGGCAATTGATTTCTAAAATTTGATTTGATAACGAGCTTCTGTTTTTGTATATTCTGACTTTTTAAAAGGGAAATTATACAATACAGTACATCCTGATTTATATAGCGCTTTCACAACAGCAGCAATTGTAAGCAGATGCAATATAACCAGATCATTTATAAAAATAAAGATGAATGTGCTTCATGTGTGGGTTTTTGTTTTAATGGATTACCAGATGACTCCTTTATTTCCTCTTATGAAGTTGCGATGTTTGTTGAAATGTCACTATCTTTACATATCTCAGACATATCAACCGTATTTTACTTGGAGGCACCAATACACAACTCGCAATTAGGAATAAGTCTGTTCCCCTAAAACAACTTTTTCTTTCGAACGCACACAGCGCACTATTTCCTCAACTAGTAGACGTCACAGTTCCACTAACTGAGCAAGATTTGGAAGCGAGGCAATGGGTGAACAACACAGAAACACACAGTGGAAATTCGGTGTTGAAGCAAATATTCGCTTTAGCTCAGAGTGTTCATATTAAACGCATGCGCTTGGTTGTTCATTCGAGTTGTCGAAGTGGGGTGTGTTGGGTGGTATTAATGTTGGTGATGTGTCGACTGTGCGCCGCATGCGTGGGTCCGTACACAAATTCACAAATGTATTTCGGCCGTGATTGTCTATGAGTCACCTTTGGATTGTTTGGATCTTGTCCACGGGTGGGCAAACTCTTTGGCTCGGGGGGGCACATGGATTTCTAAAATTTGACAGGTGGGCCGGGTCAGCACAAGATACGGTGCATATCAAAAACTGCATATGTTGACAGTACACACCAATCATCAATAGAACAAAAGCATTCAAGCATCCACGTACTTTTTTAACGAGAACGGTGAAACAACTCTGGCATATGTCCTGTATGAAGGTCCAAGTATGTTAACAACATACAGGTGTGAGAACACAAGCAACAAAGTGAAACAATCTATTGCCCAAAAACTGTCTATAACACAAAAACTGCAGCATACAGTACAGGTATATAAAAAAAATACACAATATAAAAAAGTTCGGACTATTTGCTACAAAATGAGACGAATAAGATAACTGGTGGCTTTTCTTTCCACTCACTCCCTGTCTCTAATTTTACCTCCCCTGGATCACCACACACGACAGCATTGCTCAGCTGATGTCGTGCAATGAATTTTCAAAGCCAGCCACGGCACGCTTCGAATTCTTTGATGCACATCGTTGGCGCTATGGAACTCGCCTCCTCTCTTATTAGCGGTCCAGTTTGCGGAAAGTTTTTAACACAATAACAGTCAAACCATTCCAGGAAACGTTCATTTACTTGACTCTCCGTCGAGCCGCAAACAATTCACTCCGAGCATGGGAATTGCCAGAATCGGACTGCGTAAGAATCGTTTTCTTGTTTTTCAATGTCTCATAGTTTTGAGTCTTCACTACCCCAAGCATCTCCTGAAACTTTCGCAATTCCAGTACAGTAAAATTCACTGCAATCAAGAGTCACTTGCATGTCGTCGTTTTGGATCCAATGACAGAAAATAGCGGCGGGGACACACTTATTCTGTCGCGTTTTTTTTTTTTTTTTGACCTTCAAGAAGACGGGTAAGCTGGTGTCTCTGAGCGAGCAGCAGTTGGTGGACTGCTCTGGCGACTTCGGCAACATGGGCTGCAACGGAGGGCTCATGGATGACGCCTTCAAGTACATCCAGAAAAACGGGGGAATCGACACAGAGGAGTCCTATCCTTATGAGGCTCAGGTAAACCGAAATTGTCTCTGACAGCAGCGGTCCCCAACCTTTTTCGCCCCACGGATCGGTTTGATGTCAGACAATAATTTCACAGACCGGCCTTGAAGGTGTGACGGATAAATACGACAAAATAATAGATGACCTGCATGAAAACTTTGGTATTTTTGAAACATAATCATAAACACGAATCATGACACCGAGAAACCTCCTATCTGGCCGTAATATTCTCTGGTCACTTTGGTAATGTTTAGATTTGATTGTCAACAAATGGTCTCTTGTCAACTGTTCTTTTCATCCATCATCTTTGTGCTGTGTCAAGTCGTCATTGGTTCCTTCTCCAAAATAGGACGGAAAGTGCCGCTACAACCCAGCCAACATCGGTGCCACCTGCACAGGTTACGTCGACGTGAAAACCGGCGACGAACGCGCCCTGAAGCAGGCGGTGGCTACAGTCGGACCTGTGTCTGTTGCCATTGACGCTTCACATGAGTCCTTCCAGCTGTACGAATCAGGTGACAGACATGAGTGCGATCGAAGTGATCTAAAAAAATAAATAAATAAATGAAAAAGAAAGAAAGAAACTTCGATCTGAGATTTTTTTTTTTTTTTTTTTTTTGCAATTGTTGACAGGCCTCTACGATGAGCCAGCGTGCAGCAGCTCTGAGTTGGACCACGGAGTGCTCGCTGTAGGTTACGGCACCGACAATGGACGTGACTACTGGCTGGTCAAGAACAGGTAAACTTTCTGACGTTGTTCTTCTTTGGTTGAAGTGTTGAGTAAATGTAAAGTGTGTACTTGGCAACAAAAAGAAGGACGCCGAACACAAGCACAATTGTTCCACTTGTGTTAAGAAACTTGTGAGTGCTTTTACAATACTGCCACAGTGACGAATTGGGACACTCATTTCAAAGCCATACATGCCTTACATATGCAGTTTAATGACAACGTAACCTTGTCATTCATGGGCTGAAAATCGAAAATACAGCCCAGATCCGGGATAATTTATGAAATGTAATATTCTGACATATTAAACATTTCAGTGTTGTCTTGCGATGGAAGTTGTAAAAAAAAACAAACAAAAAAAAAACCGATCTTGATTTTTTTACGATGAACAAACTACATCTCGTTTTGCTTTGGAAGCAATGTGAACTCAATTTGATGATTACGATCCCGTTTGGCCGACAAAAGCGTCACTGTTAATTGAGAAATGTTTTTCTTCCAGCTGGGGTCGACAGTGGGGAGACAAAGGCTACATCATGATGAGCAGGAACAAACGCAACCAGTGTGGAATTGCTACGGAAGCAAGCTACCCTTTAGTGTGAACGGATTTGCGGGAAAACCAATTCCATTTTTTCATTAACTCTGGAGTGTTGGAATGAGTCAGAGCCAGTGGACGAGGAAAAACTGAATGATGATATTTGGCAATTGATTTCTAAAATTTGATTTGATAACGAGCTTCTGTTTTTGTATATTCTGACTTTTTAAAAGGGAAATTATACAATACAGTACATCCTGATTTATATAGCGCTTTCACAACAGCAGCAATTGTAAGCAGATGCAATATAACCAGATCATTTATAAAAATAAAGATGAATGTGCTTCATGTGTGGGTTTTTGTTTTAATGGATTACCAGATGACTCCTTTATTTCCTCTTATGAAGTTGCGATGTTTGTTGAAATGTCACTATCTTTACATATCTCAGACATATCAACCGTATTTTACTTGGAGGCACCAATACACAACTCGCAATTAGGAATAAGTCTGTTCCCCTAAAACAACTTTTTCTTTCGAACGCACACAGCGCACTATTTCCTCAACTAGTGGACGTCACAATTGCACTAACTGAGCAAGATTTGGAAGCGAGGCAATGGGTGAACAACACAGAAACACACAGTGGAAATTCGGTGTTGAAGCAAACATTCGCTTTAGCTCAGAGTGTTCATATTAAACGCATGCGCTTGGTTGTTCATTCGAGTTGTCGAAGTGGGGTGTGTTGGGTGGTATTAATGTTGGTGATGTGTCGACTGTGCGCCGCATGCGTGGGTCCGTACACAAATTCACAAATGTATTTCGGCCGTGATTGTCTATGAGTCACCTTTGGATTGTTTGGATCTTGTCCACGGGTGGGCAAACTCTTTGGCTCGGGGGGGCACATGGATTTCTAAAATTTGACAGGTGGGCCGGGTCAGCACAAGATACGGTGCATATCAAAAACTGCATATGTTGACAGTACACACCAATCATCAATAGAACAAAAGCATTCAAGCATCCACGTACTTTTTTAACGAGAACGGTGAAACAACTCTGGCATATGTCCTGTATGAAGGTCCAAGTATGTTAACAACATACAGGTGTGAGAACACAAGCAACAAAGTGAAACAATCTATTGCCCAAAAACTGTCTATAACACAAAAACTGCAGCATACAGTACAGGTATATAAAAAAAATACACAATATAAAAAAGTTCGGACTATTTGCTACAAAATGAGACGAATAAGATAACTGGTGGCTTTTCTTTCCACTCACTCCCTGTCTCTAATTTTACCTCCCCTGGATCACCACACACGACAGCATTGCTCAGCTGATGTCGTGCAATGAATTTTCAAAGCCAGCCACGGCACGCTTCGAATTCTTTGATGCACATCGTTGGCGCTATGGAACTCGCCTCCTCTCTTATTAGCGGTCCAGTTTGCGGAAAGTTTTTAACACAATAACAGTCAAACCATTCCAGGAAACGTTCATTTACTTGACTCTCCGTCGAGCCGCAAACAATTCACTCCGAGCATGGGAATTGCCAGAATCGGACTGCGTAAGAATCGTTTTCTTGTTTTTCAATGTCTCATAGTTTTGAGTCTTCACTACCCCAAGCATCTCCTGAAACTTTCGCAATTCCAGTACAGTAAAATTCACTGCAATCAAGAGTCACTTGCATGTCGTCGTATTGGATCCAATGACAGAAAATAGCGGCGGGGACACACTTATTCTGTCGCGTTTTTTTTTTTTTTTACCGTAATTTCCATTTGAGCCTCGATCTCTCTTCGTCTCTCTTCGTCTCCCCCTCCCTCCCTGTGTTCTGCAACTTCAAGTAACTGCGCCAGCTGGCGTTGAAATGCCTGTCATTACAAGTCCAAATGAAATGAATGCAATCATTCACATCGAACCTAAATTGTGTACCAACCTTCGGCGGGCCGGATTAAAAAGACCAATGGGCCGGATGCGGCCCGCGGCCCGTAGTTTGCCTACCTCTGATCTAGCGGGAGGTCTATGTTGTACTGAGCTGCGTTGTACTTGTGTCATCTCTTTTTGCTTCCCGTTAGGTGTGTGACTTTTTTCTTTTAACTTCGCACAATAATAATAACTGAACTCACTTCAAAATGTCACAATAGAGACACTTCACTGTGTCTTCGCCCCGGCCGACCAAAACAAATCAAA